ATTTGGTGGTAGTAAAAGAAGAAATATGGTTGTAGTCGATAGACCGAAAAACCAAAGGATGTAAAGATAAAAATAGCCAGAGTTGTTTTATAAAGATCGAGTTTCCACAGTCGGAAAAAAATATGATCGTTTTTGCCAACAACTAGCTCGAAATACCGTAGCTTCTTAGCTGACTGTGAATTCAAACACGCACGCCTTACAAAAAAACCTTCTCCTAACCTCAAGAAATTCCTGCCCTAATCAACCACTATAAACATCCGCGACCCGCATAATTTCCCTTTAAATAATCAACACCCCAAAACTGCATAAATTATTGTCTTTACGAGTAAACAAGCACACAACCCGTGTGAAAAAAATCCCCGTACGACTTTGATGTGGTGAATTCATGAATAATAAAACACATACGTGCCCGTCTGCCTACACAGTCGAACTAATTCCCGACACAATGGGATTGATTGAATATTTACAAAACCGTAAACATCCCACGATTCTAATGGTTTCTGATTAAATTTTGGCTGTTGTTGCTGAGAAGCAGACACATCTCATTAGAACAAGCACCCAATTAATAGTTAACGGAACGTCACACACACAAGGGGTATGAAACGTTGCAGACAGAACGGCTTAATTCGAACGCCTCGAGCCTGAATATTGGACTTGGAAGGCACGAGTGGCGCTCGATTCGAAATTATGCCTCGGAAGACAAAAGGTGGCTTGATGTAGCAGGATGCAACCGATGGAGGTGGAGTGGTAATTGGAGGAACGCGCTGCTGACTGCGGAGGCATTTTCACCTACTACGGAAGTCATTCGCATAAAAAGCAAATAGAGCCACGAACGGAGCCTTGCGTAGTCGACTAATTTCGTTATTACGAACGGCTGCCTGTGGATAAGGCGCGTCCGAACACCTTCGTGGATCCGAAATCAATTCTTCACCTTCGTTCGAATATCCAATGTCGACACAACACGATCCCAGCCGCACCGCGCCACTTCCCCGTGTCCATATAAGCAAATGCCTTATTTATCTCGACATTTATCCTCCAGCCGTTGTTACCTTCTCTTTCTTCCACCCACCGCTATTGTGTTCCACGTTCCAGGTCACACCTGTGCCGCAGCTGATGCGTTAGATGACTCGGCTTTATCGTTCCGAGGGTGTCTCCCTGCCGCCCCCGATCGCCCTTATCGCTCCCAATCATGTACGATCCCTCTCGCATCATTGTCGAGTTAATTAAATGTTCGAGAGGAAGTGCGCGAAAGAAGGGCGGAATTCGTCAAAATTAGGGCCGAACTTCATTGCGGTTCTTGTCGAGATCCGGGGCTAATCCGGAAACACAACTTTTCGTCCATATCGATTATTGTCGGTGATGCCATTTCCGCTTTCTAATAAAGCCGACTTTTCAACATGGCCACCGCAAATTTGAATCCGGAGTTTCGTCGACGCGGCGCTTTTTCGAAACGGGACGTTCGTCGTCGATGTTTATATTGGAAATTCCGATCGGGCCGTAATTCGAAGGGGAAAAGTATCGATTCGGAGGATGCTTGACAGGAGGAAACGAGCTTTCAACGGGGATCAACGAGGAGACCCAGATTTCGCGGACGATGCCGTTATTCATCCTGTCGATAATGATGGTGTCGGGGTCCGATTTCGAATCAATGCGGGGATAGATAAGTGCGTGGGGGCCGGGAGGCGACGGAATTGTCGCAGATGAAGGCCGGATAAACTGGAGAAATGCGGGGTTGATGTTCGCTAGGTTGCGCTCCGAGGGGTGGCGTTTACCCATTATCATGATCCGAAGGAGGTCGCTTGAAACGTAGCTTCGCGGTTTGTTCGTTTTTGTACGTCTTAAATGACATGATATGCATGAACGGATGTCTTTTTTTTGCTGCCTTCACTCTTCTATGTACTATTCTTTCGATTTATGTTACATCTTCTTTTGCCTCTCTCTCCCTTTTCCTATATAAATAATGATACTAGTTCCCTTCATATGCCTCTTCACCTAATTCATCCCTCTGGAAACAGATCCCAAACGACCCCAAACCCAAAATAACAAAACACGTCGATTAATGAGGTTGCAAAGATCGAAAAGCATTTCCAGCTCGAAAATATTACATCCGACTCCGTTGTTCGAGAATTTATGGACCTAAGAATAATAACGCTCGTATGGAATCGAGCATCGAACAATGGAGAAACACCACGGAATTAATATGAAAATACCACTGAGCTGGAATAGCACAGAATTTGCGTCGTGAAGGACAAGAAGTAATTTCTCCATTGATCGGAAGAGACGAGCTCTGAAGGCTTCAACGCCCACAACTCCTGATATCGTAGTCGTTGCCCTAATTCATCCAGTCGATAATGACACTGTCTTCAAAGCCGGACTCAAGTTGATTGAAAATTTGCCCGCATACAACGAAAGAGACGCTCCTTAATCAACATGAAGCGAAGCACTCGCTCCGAATATGTTTTACGATCTGACGGCAGTACAGATGCAGATATAAACGTGCGGAAAGTTGTAAAGTTTACAGAAGTTGAGTTTTCAACAAGTCTTAGTTGTGTGCTCGCGAAAGACGTGCAAATAGAGGAACCCGGAGGGGAGTTACGAGGGAGCTGAAAAAATGGGGCGGGGGAAAGGGGAGGCGTGATTGAGGTGTATTGGATTATGTGGGAAGGAAATATGATCGACGCGTTTTATTTAGGAGATGTTCTTTGTAGGGTGCGGAAGGTGTGCCGGCAAGAAATCCGGGGACCCTTTGAATGTGTCTTCAAGACAAAGGCGTCATACGTATGGTCAATGAGAAAAGAGTCCATCGACCGGAAATTGAAAAACTTTTTGATGATTGGTTCCTTCAAACCAAACCTTTTAGTCACAAAATCGTCGATATCGCACCTTCGTTTCGAATTTTTCCTCCCTCGCACAGCCATATATGCCCCCGTCGCTTTAATCCCCTTTTTAATGTCCGTGTCAGGTTGTAAATGCGGCAGTTCGGGCGACCCAAGTCGTCTGTCGAAATTATAATTTTGATGAAATTTTTTTACGCCTCCCATAAACGCGGGCGGCGGAGGCGGCGGGCTGACGTCACGGAGTACCGAGTCTGCTGTTAACCCATTATAAGTTGGCATGACGCGCCATCCAATTCGGAGTAAGCCACCCGAACAAGCGGTCTGAGCCGTGCGAAAGCCGCAGCTGACGCCCGAAGGAACCAGTGAATTTTATAGGCCATCCAGGATATGGGACATGACAGGCCGGTCGAATGGAATTTACACCGCTGAGGTATTACGCTCTCGATCGGAGGGAGCTTTTGCAGTGTGTGCGGTTTTTTCCTTGCTTTTATTATTGACGAAATTGCACAAACGGGGATCAAAGGGGTCACAAAGGGGTTGTAAATTTGGACGGTTACCATATCGGGCTTCCGCGTTCTGGCAGATTTGGAGGGGGCGGGACGAAGACGATTCGGAGGTGGCGGATGAGGGCAACGAGGAAGCGAGGAGAAAGTGACGGAGAGTGTGCAGATAATTGCAACAATTTGAACCAGCAGGACGGAAAGACGCGAGTCAACAGAAATAGATCAGGTACGGGCACGCCGACCTCCGGAAGAACTTACTACTCGAGAAACGAGCTAATGTGAACTGTTTTACGCACCTGTACCAAAGGCCGGATTGATTTTCATACAGTTCGCGTAATGAAGCTTCCAGACGTCTGATTCTGATATCCTCCAGCAGTATGCTTCCTAACACGAATATTTCATGAAGTAACGTAGGTTCCGAGACACAATCGAACATTATTGAATAAACATGACTATTATGCTTTATTTTTAACTCAGCGTGGAAGAAAAATTATCCGAAGGTTGGGTTTTGTTTCCCGAAAAGAGAATATTAAAATTGCAGTGGAATGCCTAACGAGGAATCGATCGTTCATTTCGAACATGAAATATCAATTACTGGAAACAAGTCAATTCGTGCGTAATTAACACAAAAGCCATGTATTTAACGTAAGTCATTTTTTTCATGTACGGCTAACTAAAAGTCTGTTTCCTGTTGTACTCTACGTTTGGAGTAAGAATAAGAAAAAAACAGCAGAAAACGAAGACCCTACAAGAGTGCTACTAAGGTTCAACGCCCTGAGAAAACTGTCACAAAATTGTAATGTAAATTTGTAGCTGTTCATGTGACATCAGTTGGAATTTAATTGGACACGAATAACTTATAACGTGGCTTATAATTATTAATGGTGGCATTGTATCAGAATTATTCACATCCAACTGTTTCGCATTTATCGCGGCGTCTTATCTTCAAAAGTGACTCGTTTATATGTAATGTTTAAAAAATGGAACAAGGAAAAAACTATGATGAGATCCACATTATATTCTGCGTCATCTCTGATAGGATAACACTCCCTTTTCGGTTTTTGTTATAATATTCTTTATTATTAATATTCAGCAACATATATGTATTTATTTTTAACTAACCAGGACAACCACGATGACGCGATCTCTTCTAACGCCCTCTATGTATAATTGGTTGCCTATCCGGCATCATCATTCACTCCAGTCCTCCCGTCATCCCGACCTAATAACCATCGCCGCTCCGTAAACCGCCCGCCGTAATCCTTACCGTCCCCGATGCATGCACCGCCACTAGATCCCGTCCCCGTCCAAATATTGACCAATTTGCACACCCCGTGCACTCATCCACCCCCAGTCTCGCCGCTCCCCGGCTGCTCCGCTCCGAATCACTGCAAGGTGTTGCAAAATACATCTAGCAGACGTAACGAAGTTAAATTGCCATCTCGACGCCTTTGCGTCCCCGGAACGGCTTCGCGTCGTCGCCGCCCTCATTAATGATTCATCATGTTTGATTAACCTCCGTGGCATTTTTACGAGGTGCGAAAAGGTCCCGGCCAAAGGGCAAGTCGGGCCGGCCATCATCGCGCCGCCCCCGCTGCCCCCGGCCGCTCATTGAGTATTCATAAGCCCGGCACAGTATGTGACGTTTGATTAATTGCAGGTGTCGCGGAGGCGTGTCCGAAAGCGGCGTCCGCCACCACTGCTGCTGCCCCCACGGTGAGTACCTACATGCATTCAATTTGGGTTTAGCACGGATGTATTGGAGGTGGTTCGAATTGATCGCGTTCGCACGTCGGCGGCGATGATTGATATGGGGGCCGGGGGCGGCTGACGGCGGTCGGAGGGAGGTTTTGGTGATTTGTGACGGGCGCAAACACGGGGAGGTGCGAATGGGGAGGGAGAAGTTTTTTTTTAAGAGTGGCGTGAGTTAGGGGATTTTGTAATAAGTGGGTGTTAGATACCGATCTGATCAGAGTGTGTTGATTGCTTAAATTGTTTTGAACGGTTTATGGTAATTGAGGAGGAGATATTATTACAGACAATACTCGACTGTGTAAATTTAGTAGCGGTGCTTAGTTTCGAAGATAGCGACGGTAATGGGAACTTGTTTTTTGCCAAAATCAGAGTCTGTAGTGGTAATAAAAATCAACACAGACAGGTGGAAGACAGATAGACGGAATGCAATACTTCCTTAAGTTACGCTCGGGAAGTAAAAATATTGTTTTATCAGTGAAATATTAGAAAATATGACTGTCAACACTACAGTGATAAAGCGTTAGATAAGAGATAAGACACGTCGTAAACAGTCAAGAGAACATTGCTACATTCGAATGGAGGTTTATAATTACCTACAAAGAAATTTATCGTACCTACGAGTACCTCAATATACATCAAATACAATTACTGTAAACCGGCACAAATAACACCGGTTTAAGCTATGCTAAGCAATATTGTTTAAGAAATTAAAAATCTAGTCTATTAAACAAAAAAACTGGTACTTTGGCTTCTTCGGTTTTTCGTGTCTTTCTTCAGGAGCAAGGGTTTTAAAAATAGTGTTTCCGATTTGTTGGATGCGTAGGAATTTTAGAAGTTGTGCAAAAGTATTTGCAGAAAGAACTTTCGCCACATTTATCAACTTATCGTCTATTTATGATATGACTGGCAACCTATTAATTAACCTGGTGATAATTTTGTCGCTATTCCTAAATATTTCTAGAGGACGAACACCCTTAAAAATTTTTGACTCTGAATTTGCTAGACTTCGCTTAAATTTGGTCATTATAAGTAAGTTAAACCGACTTCTTTTAGTGTTACAATTTCGAGTCATCAACGCACCAAAAAAGAGACAATCAACCAATATTTTCGTCGGTTGTCATGAACCAGAAAATTCCGATAATTCTAGTTCTTCGCTAAAATGACCTTAGATAACACGTCCCAAAGTAAATATTGATATGCTGCAACCATCGCTCATGTTATCGTATACGAGAGCTTCTCCGTCGAGTGTCGGTCGTGCTAGTGCAGTTTTCATCCGACTCGTCTACCTCTGATCGCATTAGCCGTGCCTATCCCCATCCAGAGGTGTGTTTCTCACGCCTAATTAAGCCGTCTGGTGGCATTTGCCCATCCAGGGTGAGTCTGCCTCCCACCAGGAACTTTCGCCCGTCCGTCCGCCTCATTTAAATGCCACTCGCAAATAATTCGAAATACGCCCCAGCCAGTAATTCGATTCGTCATCGGAACGAACGGATGGGAAATGACCTTAATTATTTTCCATCTGGAACAGTCGTATCGGTTCATTAGCATTTCAATGGTATGCAATCAGCGTAGAAAAAGCTCGTCTATTTTTTACCCCCGAACACAATAAAAATCGATATCGGTCGAGTGTCTGCTTTTGACGTCGCGTCGTCTAGAAATTGATTTCGCCCGTAGTTCGCTATTGGTTGACGAAAAGGTCAAGGAGCGAGTCGTATTCCCGGTGCATTTGTCGTTAGGCAATTGTTCGACATATCGATGGCGATTATTACGAAATAATAGCGCGAAACCGACGGGGATGTTTTCAAATATCAAATTAGGGAACGAACATACGAATACACAGACGCCATCTGGCGGAGAGTACTTCAAACTACAGTGTATTGTGTGAGTGAGTGTAGATGTCTGCATAAATGGCGGTGTAGGAAACTGTTTCAAACTACAGTGTATTGTGTGAGTGAGTGTAGATGTCTGCACAAATGGCGGTGTAGGAAACTGTTTCATCTGTAAATTTGGTTCGTGCTCTGGCTAACAGTTTCCTATGCTACCACTCGAATGGCGTTACTCTCCGCTAGATGGCGCGTTGCGCTTGTCGGCTAACCACAGCCAGATGGCGCCCGCTGCACGTTCCTCAGCAATAATAATTTAATGCGTAATCGATACTCCCCCGGTTGATTTTACCCTTCATCTTTTTTCGTTTGTTTTTATTAGACGACAACTTCATGTATATGTTGATTGGGTTTTTGCTCGTTTTTTTTTCCCAACCGACGCGGTATTGACTCTTCATATTATGCCGAAGTTCGTGCGTTTTATTTATCGACGGTTTCGCCCCGGCTTAATTCTTAACGACGCTCGTGAAATCGGCAACAGTTGGCTAATTTTTAATTAAATGTCAGATATGAAGTTTTTGCGAGTCTTTAGGGGAAGCCATATTGCTTCATTCAATAACTGTCACGACATAATGAAACAGTTGACAAGTTGTGTATTTCTCTTTTGTTTTATGGTTCGTCGTAATTTATGGAGAAGCGAATTTCAGGTGGAGGGCGTTTTATGTATGTGTCACATGCGGAAGTCGGAATTTTTGTTGTTCGGGGGGAAAGTTTGGAATTTTTTGTTTGGGGTAATTTATTATATGCGGTCGGAGTAAGATGTTTGCGTTGCGTTACTTTCTGAAAGGGTAAACATGGTGTGGTGGATAATGCGAAACATAAACAGAATAAATGCGCCCAGGAATAGTAGGTTTAGTTTCATTAAACAGAGCTGCCGAACGTGGAGGCGTAATTAAAGTGTTAAGTTGGAGGAGAGAGAAAATTCGGGGGTTTTAGTGGAAGTTGTGTCGAAATGTGATACAGATTTGCTTTCTGCTGCTTGTTTTAGTGATGCTAATTTTTACTGGTGTGAAATGAATCTTAAAAATGACTAAAAGTTCGTTGAGAAAAACGTCCATTAGCGAACACTCGGAAGAGATGTAAAGTTTCAAAACATTTTTGCGTTCTTAACCTAGTAGATATTATCTTTATTCATTAAATTACTTCGGTCGTTCTTTTTCTTGGCTCTGTTGTGTAGAGGTTGTTAATAGTCTGTTCTGTTTTGTACTTTATATGTAATTTAACTAAATGCAATGGGAAAGTGGATCATTTGAACACCTGCGAACTGTAAATGATAAATTGTCGTATAAAAACTATACAATAGTGTATCTCATATCAATCGTGTACTCTTTTTTATGGAAGTTCGTAATATCGATCAAGTTGGGATGTTATTTATACCGCAGTTTTTGGTTCCAGCGATGCACTGTTTTATACGTTCAACTCATCCTTTGTTATTAAAATTTGAATTGACCTATTGAGAATCTAATTGAATTTACTGATGTATATTCCGTTGTCATTAATATTTCTAACAATGAAACAAACAAATAAAATCATTAACCTTCTGAAGGATATGGGTAAATAAATTTTAATGAATCTTTACTGTACATTCAGAATTTACATATAATCAAGTTTCATCATTTTCTAAAAATAAAATATGTATTAAAAAGTTCAATTATGAGGTAAAACCTTTCCGTTGTTCGGTAATATTTAAAACAAATCATAGATCCCGGGCGAAAATTCAAATAAAATTTAAATGGTGACGCCACGAGCCAAGCGTTTCCTATTGGCTACAAACCACACCCATGTTCTAAAATGACGTCATGTTGGCGGAAATTTTGAAATAATTTTTGTCGCACAATTGAAAATAGTAAAGATTAATAAAGACAATGAATTGATTTTTTTAATGATAATTTTGGATATGGTCAGTTTAATTAAGTTATAGACAGATGCGAAGTAACGAAAATGCGTAACCTACATTTTTGTATTTTACCCTTTGTGAGACATTAAAGAAACATGATTTTGGACATTTATTTTCATTGCTGTTGAAATTTTTAAATACGTTTCAGTGTTGCAGGTGTTTGAGCAGTTCGTAACATTTTCAATTAACGTTCAGTGATACGTTTTTAATTAAACGTCAATATAATATTCATGATCTCTAAAAGCATGTCAAAAAATGACGTGCATAAAATTTCCATATTGTGAAACAGAGTTACGTGAAGATTTGTGAAAATTTATATTTCGAAAAAGCGTCTGGTTTGAGCTGTCGGGTGTCTAAAAACAAACTTGCCAGAAATAAACGATCGAAAAAAGCCGTCCGTTTTTTCCAACTTCCTGCTTAATCCAGAACTTTCCTCTCCACACGGTCGTCTAATCGTTCGTTCATCCAACACAATACTATCATTAACTTCCCGCTTTCAACAAAAAAGGCCCGATTTGAGTAATCGGCCGTCGTTTTTCCACCACGAAAGGGTGTTTCACGGCCAGACCCTCTGGACATCCGTCGAGCTTTTAGTCGCTAATTAGGAGCCCCTCGTGGAAAAACCTTCACCCTTTCGCCTCCACCTCTCCGACTCGAATGATAATTAATTAGATAGAGAAACGCCGATAACACGTACCCGAAACACACTTTTCCACTGATTGTTTCTTTGCGAAATCGCCATTTAAACGCCTGATTAATTGCCCACGTAAAGGTCTTCGTCTTTGAATTTCATTAGCGACCGTTTTAAGCGAATCAATCCAATTAATTAATGCTCCTTGCTAGATTAGTTCCGGTCGGTATTGTCTCATCTCGCTTTCTAATTAAATAGAGTAGTTCCGGATGGTCCGTTTTTCGATGCGTGTGCACGGGCTCCCGCAGTTCCTCCTCGTCGTCTCGGCGACGTCAAGGGATATGAGGGCACCTCCATCCTTTTCGGGATTATTATTGTGTTTGACGTCTCTTCTTGAGCACCGGATCCGCACAAAGCTCATTTCTGCAATCCTATTAGTGTTTTCCATTATATACAAGTTTCGGAATTACGGCCGTGTTCCGCTCTCTACATATTCTTGGATTGTTTTTCCATGTTGGAAATATTGCATTCTTGGAGCCCGCCGATTTAA